GAGATGGTTTCACTTACTTGAGCTGCTGATGAGGAGGCTCGCCATCACGATCCAGCGTCCACTCATGGCCACAATTGTAATACTAATGTAATGACATTAATAAGAATAGTGTAATAGATCCGAATAGAATCGAATCGGATCGACTAGGCAAAAGGCCAAAGCCAAAAAGAAGAAGAAGCCCCTAAAATGGGTCGTCTCGGGTTTTTATAACCTCTGCTCGCTGACTCGTCGCCTTCCGGGTGTAGGGGGTCCTCCTACCATGACGTGATTTTGGGTCGGTGTAGCTTGATTATTGGTTGTCAACCCAGAAGGGGTTGACTCGTTTGGTAGGCCGCCTCTTCCTACTCAGCATTTTCCATCTGCCATAGTGCTTATGATCCATTTCATATAGCCCTTCCGCATTGTCAGCGGTTTACGCCGCCGCGTTAACATTCTGATTAGTCAGGAGTTCTTGTACTTCCTTGTAGACCCGAGCTCTCCGGGTCATGCAATATTACTGGTCGGTTTTTTGTTTTTTCCAAGCTTACCGTCTAATTGTAGTGATTCCACATTTACCAAAAAAACTACATCTACATGCATGTGACCCTTTGCTCCATTACAGCAACCAAGAACATTTCCGGCAATTATTCAATTTCGAAAAAATATTTCATACTTCAAAATATTAATTAATCTGAGAACATATATTACATATAATGAGAATATTGCAAGTTTTAATGTGTTACATAAACAATTTATCAGGATAGATCAGCTATTTTCTTCAAAAATGCAGGGAACTTCAAACTGCAACACGCGCGGAAGCAGCAGGTCTTTCGCTTCCACCCTCCCCTGGGTTAACTGGCTGACCAATGTCAATGTTGTCTGTTAGTGAGCTATCCGTTATGATATGCTACTAGCTTCGTGCTTCCAGCAATGTTGCCAGATGTAAGGCATTGCAGTTCGCAGTAGCATAGTCTGTGACCTGGCAGTTAAGCGTGTGAATTAGTTTTCAAAAGGTGTTAGCGTCTCATTTATGCACAAATCAGTTTAGATATTATTCTGTATTTTTCTCGATACAGAATTTGTTTTGCTTTGTGTAATTATAACTTTATGACCAGTGTTTTTGTGATTGCTGTTAAGTTAAAAATAGAAACATGACACTTTCATGTGATAACCACTGTGTGATTGAAAAACTTCTTCAAACACCGTTCAGTTCACTCAGTTATAATGAGAAACTTAAGATAATAGAAGAAGGCACACCTAAGCCTAATCTAACTTTACACATAAAAGTGAAATCTTGCACACGGCATTTCAATACCAGTTTATATGAGGCTATTCCATGGTTGTGTGGGTGTGATAAACTAAACAAATTATTCTGTTGGCCTTGTCTCTTGTTTTCTAAAGAAAAACACGTGTTTAACAGTGCTGGTTACAATGACATTAACAACATTTACAAATCTGGCAAAAGACATGGGCATTCAGTTAATCACATTGCTTGTCTTAAAGAAATTACACTGTTTGGTAAAAACAGAAGGATTGAATTTTCTCTAAGCAGCCAATACAAACAGTCAATTGAAAAACACAATGAAGCTGTGAAACAGAACAGGAAATTTGTAGGCCAATTAATTACAGCAGTTTGTTTTCTGGGCTCTCAGGGTTTAGCATTTCGGGGACATGATGAAAGCGTGGCATCTGTTAATAGAGGAAATTACATTGAGGTTTTAAATATGCTGGCACGTTATGATTCTGATTTACACAATCATTTAGAGTCTTCAACTGCTTTCCGTGGTTCTTCTCCTGACATCCAAAATGAACTGATACATTCTGTATCTGAATTGATGACAATGGAAATTAAAAAGGAAATTTCAAAGGCTAATTATGTTTCTTTAATTCTTGATGAGACTTCAGATGTGATGAATAAGTGTCAGTTGGCTTCAGTTCTTCGATATGTGACAGCTGATGGCAATGTTGAAGAAAGGTTTCTGCGTTTTACAGACGTGAGCTCTGACCGTTCTGCCAATTCCTTGTTTAACCATGCTCTTGAGATTTTAAATGATTTTGAATGTGGTCCCAAACTCATTGCACAGACTTATGATGGTGCTGCTGTTATGGCATCACAACATGCAGGAGTACAAGCAAAAATTCGCGAGCAGTACCCAAACGCCATTTTTGTTCATTGTTATGCGCATAGACTAAATTTAGTCTTAGCACAATCTGCTAGTTTTATTAAGGAAGTTAAGGTCTTCTTTGCTACTCTCTCTGGCTTTAGAACTTTTTTTGCCAAGTCCACAAAAAGGACTGAAGCATTGGATTCCCACCTTAGGAAAAGATTTCCTTCTATCGCACCTACTCGATGGCAGTACCATAGCCGACTTGCTGAAACTGTGCATGAATACAGAGAAGGAATTGAGAATCTTCTTGTGTCTATAATAGAGGAACCAGAAGAATGGGATGTAGAAACAATTTCTTCTGCACGCGGACTTCTCTCTCTTCTAAGGGATTTCGATTTCAATTTCATGCTGAAAATATTTTCTTCAATTTTTCCATATTCTGGCGCTCTTTTCAAAATCCTACAAACTAAGAGATCTGATATAGCTTTTTGCAATACCAAAATAGACGAATTTAAGCATCACATGCAAAGATTAAGGGGAGGATTTGACCACCTTTGGAGTGAAATGGAAAATGTCTTCGATTCAAATGGCCCAACTCGACCCAAAAGAATTCGCATTGACTCAATGAGTGGAGAAGAAAGAAAAAACTCCTATAAACGGCTGTTCTGTGAAATTATTGATGTCGTGTGTCAGAATGTCTCTGTTAGATTTTCGGAGAACGCTACGCTCCTCTTCTTGAGTCTTCTTGATGCCAGATACTTTCCCATGTATAGAACCTCATTTCCTGAAAAAGCATTTTCCTGTTTAAAAGAAAATTATGGTGCATTTTTTGACTTTGTTGCCTTAAAGAGTGAACTTTTAGTAATGTTTTCGGACCCAGATATGGCAAAAGATAGTGTGTATGACTTACATCAATATATGTATGCTCTTCAGTTATCATGCGTTTTCCCGCAAATCTTCAAATTATGTGAGCTAGTATTAACAATACCAGCGACAAGTGCTGCAGATGAACGCTCATTTTCAGCTCTGAAGAGATTAAAAAACTACTTAAGAAATTCGCAGAACCAGGATAGGTTGTCATCACTGGCTTTGATGAACATTGAAAAGTCCTTCCTAAACAAACTGCAGTCCAAACCCAGCTTTCTAGATGAGGTTATTGATCTGTTTGCCAAGAAAAACAGAAGAATCGAGCTGAATTATAAACAATAAAGTAAGCATTAATTATATTCCAGGTTCACAACCCTGTCATTTGATGGCTATAAAATTGTGTTTATAATTATGTGTTATTTTAATATATTAGCTTAAATATACAATACATATTAAACTATTAGCTGTTTTCTTTTAAATAGAAGATAGAAACTATAGGGTATGTAGAAAAATTTTATATACACGTATATAAAGTAGCTTCCCTGCTTTCGGTAGTCATGCTACGCCACTGGCACTACATTACTCCTAGTTGGTCAGTCCCCCAGGGATTCATTTGCTCTTGAGTACACACAAACATTAGTCAGTCCTATTCGAGTCACATAGGAATTGACCACTGCACAAAGAAGATTTTCACATTGGTGTAATGATTCAGTTCTTTCCGGAAACAAGTTTTATTAGAGACAATGAGGCATATGGAAAGCGAAACGAGAAGTTTTGTATTTAAGTGTTCCCTGCGCATTACTTCCTTCTTTAGGTAATCATTCCAGTTACACTTTCAAAATGGAATATTTTGCGACGCTCCTCAGTAGAGAATATTCTCCATCATACTTTTTCTTAATATCACTTTCTTCCAAAACTTCTTATCAGTATTCTACTGTTTATTTGTTGAGTCACTAATCCAATTTTATTGGCAAAGTGCAATTTTCAAAACTACAAAATCCACAAGAGAAATTTAATCTCCATGTATTCTAATTTATAAAATACTTACTGTGACCCAGAAGACAAAATTTTTCGGAATATATTGTAACGTGGATGGCGCAACAGGAAGTAAGGGTCGCGTGAACTCTGCGGTCGCGTGAACTCTGCGGTCTCGTGAGTGACGTCACATACACCCACTCCTTCCATCATTATGCAACGCTCGGTAAACACCCCCTCCCCGTGGTGACGAAACAGAAGAGCAAATGTGTCAGGCAACCATTGCCGCGGTGACGTAATAGCATAGGAGCCGCTGCCGCTGCTACGGTAACAGGCCAGTAAACACTCCACCACCACCCCACTGTGACGTAACAGGGGACACCGCTGATAACACGGGGCAACAGGGAACGGTATAAAAGGCCGGCTGAGCAGTGTGTGAGCCAGTGTGTGATTAGGAGTGGCACAGTGTGGATCGTGAAGTCAGACAGAGGAAGTGAAGTCCAGAAGCCACGAGCTGTGTTGTATCAAGTGCATGGTAGGGACTCCAGCAGTGATATGTGGCAATTGTTGGAATAAAATGCCCAATTCAGTATCATATTGATTCTGTCATGAGTCTCATTTTAACACGCTACAGTGTTTCATAAATATTTGCAAATTGCCACAGTGCAAGTGGACCTAGGGTATAATTATTCTTCGAATCTTGACGATGAGACATCTGCATGTACTTAGATTTCTCTGTGTTTATTTGTTTCCAGCTTCCCTAGTAACGTCAATTGAAGATCTTTGTTCTTTTATAGTACTTACTGTTGTCTCCAAATTTTCTAAATTGTCAGTTTAGTCGTCTAGCTGATATTCAGTTTTTAATTTCAGTGGATTCTGATTTTCATGGACGTTCATAATGGTACACAATAAAGAAAGTTTGTAAAGAAATGGCGATGCCATGACCACTACTTCATTTGAGAAGTGCAAGTTTAAAAGAATTCTCCCATATGTAGGGCTTGCAGAATGATTTTTCCTCTTAGTAGGGAGAGGTGAAATATAAGGACTGATGGACGCTTTGCTCTGTTGCAGAAACTCCGGGAAGTATTCCCTCCGTGAGAACTTCATCGCCAATAAATAGCACGATTGAGCCACAGAAGCAAGTGTCTGCGAGCGTCAAGAGCGTGGAGAAGCACATACATGGTCTGAACCATGTCAGCTTCCTGGCTCCTGTAGGATGTCTAGCACGTTGGTATAGAAGCGTTTCTGGAAGTAATATATTTCTATCGAGCATTTCCGTGTTCGCAAGTCTGGGGCGAAGCGTAGATATGAAACAACGAAAGAGAAAGGAAAAGATAATGTTGCTCCATGTTTTCTCCATACCTTTATATCTCTTTCACACATGACGCGATAAGATAAGATTCCTTCACCTCCCTTGCATAATGTTCTATATATACACGAGAGGAGGACTGATGTTTCAGTATTGAAAGTTCCATCCAAGTAAAGGAAGTAATATTCCGAGCAACACTCGCTTTGGAGTGATGTTCCTCGATAGATTTCCCGCAACTGCAGAACAGTGTCTTACGTTTCCTTCATTACAGTGGTGGAAGAATATTTTAATTATGAGTGGTTCTTTGGTCTTTTGCAGGAACGCAGTCGTTCCAGGAGGCATAGAATTTTGCATATTCCTACGCCCGCTTACTGTGGCGTTAAGCCCACAGTTGACTGTTGGAGGAAGGACTGGAAAACTGGAGGCGAAAGCAGTGAGGTGAGTTGTACGGTGAACTGTATCGTGATTCAGATGTAAGGGAGAAACTTGCCTGGTATCGGCTAGAAGATCTGATTCCATCTGCTTCTGTTTCATGCCTATTTCTCTGAAACGGTTGAATCATACAAATCTCAATTATTGGTTGACTGTCACTGAAAAGTGTTGTCATGTTCTAGAAGGTACAGCACTTCTTAAGAGCCGCTGTGTGAAACCCCATTTTTCTGCTTTTCATTTCTATTTTGCTTAATTTCTTACTTCTATCTTCGTATTTTGAAGCTACAACTTAGTGTCACTTTCACACCCTGCAAACTTGAGTGTACGCAATTCAAGCGCACTTGTGTTATCCACTGCGCATCAAAATTTTGGTTGATCTGAATATACGCACATATATTCCCACGTATGTGCTTGACTGTGGTACATCATACACGCCATTCACACTGTCACTCAAAGAATATCAGATAACCTTCATGAACTCTTTCCTTGGGAATCTACACTAATTTCTGCAATTATCTTAATTATAAGTTTGTATCTATTGGAGCAAAACCCGTTGTGAGAGGACAACGAATCGCGTGTACTATGTTTGTTCCTGTGCATATGGTGGCTTTTGAGAGAACAAGGAAATTAGTTCTATATCTGTATTACGTGTATCTAGATTTGGAATTTAAATGTAATGTGACTTGTATGTTGACAACTAACGTAGTATAATTTTGTTAAATGAATTATATTTCCTTAACATGCCAGTAACAGTGGCAACTTAGTTCAGTTGCTATCCAACCAGAGAAAAGACAAAGAAATCAATGTAAAACCATGTCGATCAGTTAGTTGCATGGTTAAGCGAAGGATGTTAAGCAATTGTGCGTTTGTTACGTATCAGCAACATTGACACACAGAAATATATCTATTTTGCGTTGTTTCGCTCATTAAAGGAGTTTGAATTAAACTCCTGGGCAATTTAATCCGAGAACCGAAATGTGTTTATACTAAAAATGTTTCTTGGAACCGTGGTGGGTGCCAAACATGGAAGTTCTATTCAAGAGATTAGAGGTGTTATATCTTCATTGTGAATACACCATTAAAGGAATTTATTTTACATAGGTCAGTCAAAAATATCCCGGAAATCCCCTGCAGACGGAGAACGAGCAATAACATAGCGCACACACTGTTGTGTTGGGGAGCTCAGCCTGTCTACTCGCAGGCGCAACAGGTCTGGAGAGGTTTCAGTATGCAGTGTCGTTACTGTTGAATTAGACGCGAGTGTTGGCCATTCGGCGCATTGTCGCAGTTCGAACAGCGTGCGAACATCAAGTTCTTGTTCAAATTGGGAAAATCTGCTTCAGAGACGCAATTGACCATGCAGCAAGTTTACGGTGATACTATACTAAAGAAATCCGCAGTTTACGACTGGGTTTCCCGGTTTAAGAATGGGCAGGAGACGTTAGAGGATGATCAGAGCAGGTAAGTAATATGCTATCTACCAAATAACTGAAGGCCTGTGTCCTATAGTAATGGCTGTTGTTACATTTGATTTATTATTATTCACAGTATTACAGTTATACTATGTGATAAAAGCCAATACATGAATTTCTTTACCACAAGTATCGAGAGTATATGACCACTCTGGTTCTATAAAAAATTTATATATATATATATATATATATATTAGAAATCAGAAGTAAATACATTCTTTAAGCTAATTTGCTATTTTAAACACCGTCCTCATATGCATATCTATATAAATAAAATGTAACTGTTCGTTTGGCCCTGATCGAAAATCTCCGAAAGTTCTTCACCGATTGCTTCGAAATTTTGACACAACGTTGCATTCGAATACGCGCGTGTTTTTATATACATATTATATAGATGTCACACCTGTGACAGGTAAAAACAAGCTTCTTTTGAAAAACAATTGGAATTTGGAATTCAGAAGTCACCCCTATGGAAACGCTAGAACAGACCGTTGCATAGGATGTAACAATAGCGATACTGTATCGAATCTCCATGGTTACGACGAATACACGGAGCGTTCCCACATATACAACGCAATAACAATGGGTCGTTGCGTAGGAATCGCGGAATCAACAAAGCATCACATGGCTGAAGATATTTTCCGTTGAATACGCAAGGAAAATTCCAGTATGAACATGGATTTCACAGCAGAAATCTGCAACGAAGCGTTGATAATGATTGAAGATTTGTGCTCAGAAATCGCGAACAAAGTTCTCACTCAATTGGGAATGCCATCACCGAATCAATCTGCTGCTGCTTCGTTCAATGTAGAATTGCGTCATGAACAAAATTACAACACGTGCGATCTTTCGTCATATGTGCAATCAAATATTCCTAAGCTAACGCTTGAGCAAAAAGGCATTTACGATCAAATAATGCAAACTGTCAATAACGGGGTTGGAGAATTCTTCTTCTTAGATGCGCCAGGAGGAACTGGTAAAACGTTCCTAATTAGATTGATTCTGGCAGCAATTCGATCCCAAATTGCGTCGTCCGGAATAGCTGCGATATTGCTACCAGGTGGGAGAACTGCTCATTCCGCTTTGAAATTGCCATTGAACATGCAATTCATTGAAACTCCCACGTGCAACATTTCCAAAGGATCAGGCATGGGAAGGGTATTGCAGAAATGCAAACTTATTGTTTGGGATGAATGCACAATGGCGCACAAAAAATCGCTCGAGGCTCTTCATCGATCATTGCAAGATTTGCGTGGAATGCATTAATATTGCTTGCAGGAGATTTCAGGCAAACATTACCCGTAATTCCTCGATAGACACCAGCGGACGAAATAAATGCTTGCCTGGAATACTCTACTTTGTTGCGACACGTAAAGACGTTCAAATTAACTACAAATATGCGTGTCCAGCTGCAAACGATCGATCAACTGAGATATTCTCACATCAGTTGCTGGAAATTGGGAACGGAAAGGTGCCGGTTGATCTTACCTCAGGACGAATTTCGTTGCCTCATAACTTCTGCAATTTAGAGACGTCAAAAAAAGAATTGGTTGAAAAAGTATTTCCCAATATTCTAACCAATTATAAGAATCACGATTGGCTGAGTGAACGAGCTATTCATGCGGCCAAGAACAAAGACGTCTACGAACTTAACAATATCATTCAGTCTAACATTCACTGCGAGGCAGTCACATACAAGTCCGTCGACACTGTTGTGGAAGCAGATGAAGCGGTTAATTATCTAACAGAATTTTTTAATTCACTCGATCTGCCACAGCAACGCGTGGCCGGGTACAGCTAGTAATAAATAAATATGAAACAGTGACTTATCAGTAATTTCAACAAGCGCATAGAGCGACTAGTCAGATTATGAATGGTTCAATGAATGAGCTGGCAGCAAATGTAGGAGGGTGTTTGGAACAGAATATGTCATTTCTACACCCTGTAATATGCGAGTCCATACAGTCCGATCACCAAGCACATGCTGAACTATTTTCTGAGCCTCCTGTCAACTCTATGAATGAGGCTACGTCATACCTTGTATAGGAAAACTTAAGGGAGAACATGTCGTGAGTGAGTAGGTCTGAAAATCCAACCGATGTATGAATAAATGAGATACGTTAAATAGAATTAAGCAGCTTTCTAGTGATGCCATAACGGTCTACATCACTGACGATGATGCTACCTTGTACCTATGTTGATGCCACAGAATAAAGTCCCATGGATGGAACCTCTCCTCATCTCCTTCGAGCTGCTGTGTTTCCGCCTCCGCCGTAATTGCCTGCACTCCCATTCATTGTCCGAATATTCTGTTTGGAGGAATGCTATCGGAGATAACACTATGATGACTTTCACTAGCTACAAGGTCCTTTGGTTGACATAGGCCACAGGGTGATGGACGGGAATATAACAGTGGGCTAATGGGGGAAGATTCGAGCGCTGTCAAAGAGGAGGCCCCATTTAAAAACACGTAAGAAAGTCTTGGAACAAATAAGCATTTGGTCAGGAGTCATGGCGGGTCCCGACACTAAGAATAATTCTGCTGGCGAGGGTCAGCAGCAGATTACTTCACCTCACTGCACTGCAGTCAGCCCTACCATCCATGGAACTTCTTTTTGTAGTGCCAAAGATAATGTTCTTACACCAACCCTCGTAACCTCATAGAATCTGACTTGTTTTATAAGTGTTTTTTTCGTGATTTTCAGACTTGGTAATATGTGGCATGCCTTGACATTGGATGAAAAGCAAAAATACCTTATCTGGGGCTACTCACAGCCCAAGAACACAACCAGGGAAAAAACAAAAGGGAAAGAAGTCTCAATTCCCAACACCGTCTAAGGACTCGGATGCTGAAGGGTTAATCAAAGGACATATTAACATTTCCTCTAATGTAAAAATTTACGAACTTTCAGTGATTGAGTGACGAGAGACTGAGTTTGGATTGGTAATTGGGTTTATTGGACATGTTAATAGAACAACTCGTGACTGCACTTTACAAATCGCTATCACAGACTAGTGTTCTCTGTCGCGTTCCCATTCCTCTGGATGTAATATCTTCTTGCTGGGTAAGGTGGGTAAGGGACCCACTAATTGAAGACAATTTCTATGCTCAACAATTATACTAAGTTTTATTAAAAGAAGTAAAAGATGTAGATAATATATACAATGTGTATACAGTACAGATTTTCAAAGAAGTATCCTGCTGTTTTCAGTGTTACTGGTATTATATATTGAACTTTAAGAAGAGAGCCAAAGAGGATGTGGGGAGCCATGAGCACAGAGTTTAAGACTTAAATTGTGTACATGCGGTAACACGCATGGATGAACTTGAAAACTAGATTCTACTCCTCTGCTTGGGGGAACATGTTATCGAAGTGTTAAAAGGTCAGGCGTTGACAACATTTATACGCTTACGCCAGACGGTTTCAACTGTCTTATGAAGCACCCTCTTGGCTAACACAAAAAATTACACATTAAGATAGTATACAGTATGAACAAAAGTCTAAGTACTCTAAGGATTACATATTACGATATTACATGGGTTCCCCAGCTGACCCTGGGATCTGCTACTGCAACACTGCTTTCCACTGTTCCTCCGTTGTTGTGTAAACATATTACTTAGCGATGGCTCTGGTATTGTCGCATGCTTACACAGTGGTAGCCTAGCAACAGGTGTGTTTTCAGAGCCGTTCCCTAGCAGCGGCCGTCTCTCCTGGCTTCAAAATTCTGACTCTCAGCAGGTACGCCACAACACTTTCTTCAAAACCCATAATCCTATCTCCTCCCAATACCTTACAATTCAGCTCAGTACAGACTTGCCCAAAGTTGGTAAATTTAAGATACCTTGTTAAGAGGAATTGTCTGATTCAAAGTTGCAAGTCACAGCGCTATGCACTGGATGTGGAGGATCTCATTTTGAACAATTTATGTAAGATCAATAAGCAATACAAACATTTCTAATGTACACGTATTTTGCGTGAATTTTACTGACCAGCTAATCAATATTGAAGAATTTGCATGGCCATATTTGAAGTGTAATGCATGTTTGTGTAAACACATTTTTATCAAATTGTTTGTGTTGTACGTGTCTGAGATTTTACTCTCTCTGTTCCTTGAATACTGTTCTCATTCTTGTCTGTTCTCGTGCAACTCAGTTAGAATCACCTAAGGTTCTATGTTTCTTCTTTCTGCTTTACTTCACATGTCTTAGTCTAACCACTCTAACCAGTCATTATCATAACTACAGAGTGTGTTCAAGGTCTCTGCGCTGCTTTCTTTTTGATATATTAGATGCTTCTTTCAAGTTATGTTACATCATACCTTTGTGTCTTAACCATGTGTTTTGTGTATGTTTGGTGAGTACGTTGCTGTCGGTTCTGCGTGTTTCCCATGTATTTTCTGTCTTTTCTGACTTCACAACCATCTTCTGAACTGTTTACCTGCACCTGTTGGATGGGAGGAAATGTTCCAGGCGACTACACATTTTATGCTGGTGCCCAAATCTTATTTATTACCTTTCAGAATTAAGGAATTCTATGTATTACTTTGATCTTAATTTTTATTTACCTGACAGCCAAAGAGTAGCATTCCCTCATTATTAAACTGATACCAAAGTAATTACAAATTAAAGTTGTTAATACATTATTTGATAATATTGAGATAGTATGAGGTTTGCCATAATGCAGCCTCAGTGACCTTAGAAAATGATTTCCTGTTATGTGATCTGTGTATGTATATGTATTAAGATATGTCACACATAGGTCATATTCAAGAAATCCAAAGTTTGAGTCTCATCCTAAAGGCGTCCTCCAGGGCAGTTCCTTATATATACACTGACGACATCCTTGCAGATACAGGGTCCGGCAAATCGACTTC